TACAATATAGTGATTCAGCAATTCTCTACATTACTCAGTGCTTACCATGGTAAGAGTACTCTTTAATCTCCATCACCTGTTTCACCTACCCACCCTCCCCCAATCCCCCCCAATCCCCCCACCCATAGAGGATGATGTTTTATATAAGGTAGTTAGGTAAAGCTTGTTTGGTAAGGTGAATTTTGAGCACATACCTGAATGAAGAGAGGAAGTGGTCCCCATGGTGATCTCGGGAAAGAGCATTCCGGCCAGAAGGAAAGGTAAATATAAAGGTCTTGAGGCAGGAGTATGATTTACTTATCAAGTAAGAGAAGAGATGTAGAAAATAGAGGAGATTTTTTTTTTTTTTGAGGAGATTTATACTTAAAATTAACCCATTTTGGAATTCTTCCATCATTGGCACCATTTATGTGTAAACATCAGCAGAGGAAATTATATTTATTTCAAAAGAAATATAAGGACCCTCCGTTCTTAGCATTCTAGAGGATTCTTTTGGAAAATATTTTAAAGCTATGTTGATGGCCAACATATTAAAAAGACCCTAGCAGACCCCATCAAATAGAACATTTCTGAGAGTTTGGACTGAAGTTAAAGAAATTACAAAATGATCCATTAAAAACTGAAAAGTTTTTGCTGTGCTTAGAAATATTTAACAGGTTCTAGTCTTCAGTTGGAAATTCCTTCACTACCCACTACCACTCATGTTTGTATGAGGACCTTTAAGTTTAGGTGGAAAAAATGTACTTCAATCTCTTTTGTCTTTATGGGTTTTTTTGTTTTTTGTTTTTTTTTTTTTTAGTGCCTAAGGAGAAAATCCATGTAGCCTGATTATAAATGGTTTTAATGTTTCCTTTAACTTCTGAATACTAAGGTAGTCAGAATCTCCTTTTTCTCTTAGAAACTGTACTGAGTTGTTTCTGGTGTTATTTACAGCACACAAAGGCTGCTTGAAAAAAATATTGAGAGCTATTTAAATGCCATTGTCAGAGACTTTAAAAGGTTCAGGGGACTGGGACCTTTTTCTTTTAGGTCACCAAATCAAAAGACTCCTTGCTCTGTAGTAACTAAAAGATATTTTCACATGAAGGTTGTTTATGTGAAACCTTTGAGCTAGTTTTCTTTCTTTTTTTTTTCCTGTTACGAATCCCTTTCGTGTGCAGTTAAAAGTTTCACATTTAGGTTTTTTTTTTTTTTTT